AAACCGTGCAATTACGGCTTGTTTTTCTGCAAAAGAACTTAACAGACCTGAAGTAATTTTATTAAGGCAGTGGAAGTGTTGATGAGAATTCACAGTCTCTTCACACCCAGCGCTCACACCCTGCCCACGGCGGAGCCGAGCAGGGGGAGCCGAGCAGCAGCTCCGCTCTCCGAGGGCACCCCGGGGGTCTCAGCCCCACATGGACACCCCAAGGGTGGGCACCCCCATCCCACAGCCCCCGGATGCTGTCCCGGCCCCCCAGACCCTGATTTGAGGGGGATCAGCCCCACCCATCACATGGCTGCTCCCTGAGCCGCAGCGAGCCCGCTCTAATTAACGGCAATTAACAGATGCACACGCGGCGTTATTTGTGCAATAAATAACCTGGGTGCCAGGTGCCCTACCGGCGCCAGGAGTGACAGTGACCACTTTTCCCAGGGGCTGGGAATACAACGCAAATTTTGTGTCGGGCAACACCACAAAAAGCAGATTCGGGCTGAGAAATTAAATTTTGGGGTGTCACTGAATCTCCACCTCCGCTCCGGACTAAAGCACACAACCCCACCAGAGCCAAATCCCGGCTCTGCCCTGAGGAGTTTCACCCAGCCCCGGGAGCGCGGCTTTAGGAGATGGAACCGCTCCTAAAACCACGGAGCTCCGGGGGAGGCATCCCCGCACCGAGCCCGCTGCTTGGTGTCACCTCTCCTGCAGCCCTGCCAGGGTCACACACGGCCCTGTGCCCCCCAGGGGACCCCGAGCGGAGCAGGGGAGCAGCGGCCCCTCCGCAGCTCTCGGCAGTGATGGCTCTCCGCAAGGTCTCAGCGCAGTGATGGCTCCATCTGGCTTCCAGGGGAGGCCGAGTCCGCTCCCGGACCTGCCGGATTCCTCCCGGGATGCCAGGGGCGCACGCTGCCAGCCGGGATGCCAGGGGAGCACGCTGCCAGCCGGGATGCCAGGGGAGCACGCTGCCAGCCGGGATGCCTTTGGTGCCCGAGCCTCGCTGCCCCAGGGATGGGGAATCCTCCGGGCACTCGGCTCCCACCGATCCCCTCCCCCCAGCACGTTTTCTCTTTATACCCAACCTAAATCCACCCTCTCTCAGTTTAAACCGCCACCGTTTCTCCTGGCTTGAGGAAAAGCTTTTCTGTGTCACTTTTCCAAGCCCTCAGGCTGCCACAGGGAATTCTCCAGGCTGTTCAGCCCCAGCTCTCCCAGCCTAGGGAAGGGAGAGGAGGACGGAGCGGCAGAACCCCTCTCAGCCACCCCAGGAAGAACAGGAAAGGTTCTTCCAGCCCCCAACCATCTCCAGGGTCCCCTTTGGATCTGCTCTGGCCCACCCAGGTCTGCCCTGTGCTGGGGTCCATCCTGGGGTGGGTGTGTGTGCGCTCCAGGGGGGGCTGAGGGGGGAACCATCTCCCTGCCCTGCTGAGCACCCTCTGGTGATGCAGCCCAGGGGATGTTTGGTTTGTGGGTTCTGTGGAAAACGGATTTGTAGAGGGTTTTTAGGGTTTGATAGAAGGTTTACACGGTATGTGTTTGTATGTAAAATTTGAGATAAGAAACGCCTCTCAGTAGCCCCATCCCTGGGTCAGAAAAGGGTATTGTCCGACAGGCTGCCAGCACCCACTGCCACCCCACATCCCATTTGTCACCCCCTGGCACCTCCAGGCGCTTCCCTGCAGGGTTGGGAGGAGATTTGGGATGGGGCAGGCAGGGAGCCGCTGGAGGATGGGGTGGGGCTGTGATCTCGGGTAGGAGGAAAGCTCTGCTCCCTCTGCCCCCTCCCATCCCATCCCTCAGGAGGAAAGCTCAGCTCCCTCTGCCCCCTCCCACCCCATCCCACCAGGCTGCTCCCTCCTGTCCAGGTCTGGAGAGCTGCCATGGCACATGGAGAGCAGCACTCCCCTGTCCCTGCCCGCCCTGGCACTGCCCTCAGGATGGGTTAGGCACGGTGGTGCCTCCCTTCCCTCTGCTCTCTCCAGTTCCACTCTGACAGCCGCTGCTCTCCTGCCCTTCCCTGCCTTCATGCACCTCCAAACCCCTGCTCCCAGGGCCCCTCTATCCCACACACCTCAGAGTCTGGGAATTTCCCCATCTTTGCCTCCAGCAATGGCCCTGACCACCCTGAGTCACGTCCTGGGGATGTCCTCACCTCTCCAGTCCAACCAGTCTGGCCAGGCTGGTGCTGGTGACACGGTGGCCACGTGGGCCACCAGGGCAGTCATTGCCATCCCTGGAGCTCCAGAACATCGGGCACCGTTCCCAGCCTCCCACACGAGGCTCTGCAGCCGTGGCAGGGCAGCAGGTGGCACTCAGAGATGCCCATGGGGACCTTCACCAGCAGCTGCCTCCAGTAGCAGGGACCAGGGTGACCAGAACGTGGTTGAGCATCAGGCACAGTGCCAGTCCTGGGGCTGGGTCCCTGCTGGTGTCCCCAGCAGATGGCACAAGCCCTGTGGTGCTGGTGTCACCCCTCCCCTCTCGATGGGTACATTTTTGGTCCTGAACAAGGAGCAGGAGCGCTGGTTACCCTGGCAACATGAGATGCTCTCCTCCAGACAGGGACAATATTTGGCAAGATCTAAAAATACTCCCTAACTCAGCTGTGATAGTGCCACACGTGTCACCTCCCTGCTCTCCAGGGCTCCTTGGGTGGGTTCTGTCCCTGCTGGTGTCCAGAGTGTCCCTGGTCACTCACCCTGCCTGGTGGGGACCTCCCGGGCTCCCACAGCAGATGTGGCCCAGCACTGTCCCCTCCCCAGGTCAGCCAGCCCGGGGACACAGCAGGGACAACAGGGACAGCTGGTGGCACGTCCCACCCAAAGGGACTGGGAAGTTCCCTGGGGAGGGACCTGCAGGAACTGCTGGGGAAGGTAAATGATTTCTTAGAGTTTAAATAGGTTTAAAAACTACTTTTAAATGATTTTGCTGCTTTTCCTAATACCATTACAGCCTTCTCCATGGCGACCAGGGAGGGGCTCAGACTTTGGCCTGGGCTGGGAGTTTATCTGCTGGAGCTGAAGGGGTGGGGGGATCACACAGGGGGTCCACACCAGCTAGGGACACGCTGGGCAGGGGACAGGCGTGGTGGGGACCCAAAGCCAGGTCCCCACAGTGGCACGTGGGGGTCCTGGGGTGCAGGGACCAGCAGCTGAGGGTCCCAGCATCTCCTGCCACAGGACCCATCTGGAGACGAGGCTGCCAGGGAGGTTTAGGGGCACAGACAGGACTGGAGGAGATGCCTCAAGGATCTCTAAATGTGGAGATGGGTCCAGCTCCTCCCTGCACCACAACCACTCTGGGAAGGGATTTCCCTATTTACCCTCCTCAATTTCCCATTGCATCTCATTTGATATTTCCCCAGGGAGGGTGCTGGAGGCAGGGACAAACCTGCTCCCAGCTGCAGGCAGGGCTTGTTTAAACTTCCCAGTGAGGTTTTGTGGGTTTTGGCTGGCTGGCCTGTGCTGGTTCAGCTCTTTTTAGCTTTCAGATTGATTACACCTTGTGTCAATATGTGCTCAGTGCCTATTAGTGGGTGCATGTATCCCTATCTCTCATTTCTCCCTCCTGATCTATAAATTCCCAGAAGACAGGATTAAAATAGAGGGGGAGGAGGATTCCACTTGGGGCCAAAAGGGAAGAGGGAAAGCAGAGCCTGTGGGAAAGTTGGGTGGCAAGGCTGGAGCCTGGATGTCTCTCTCCAACTCCTCTTCTTGGGCATGGCAATGCCTGGTGAGGAGCTGAGGTGTGGCCTGGGAGCTGGGGAAGTGCCAGGCTCCCAGGGGAAGGGGCAAGGTGGGAGCGTGGTGGGGTGCCCGTGGTGTGGGAATGGTGGGGAGAGAATCCCTGCTTCCCAGAGCAGCCTGGGGGAAGCAGGGCTGGGAAGAGCGACTGCAGGGCAGAGATTGCTGGCCATGGAGCTGTGGGTGCCAGTGGTGCCAGCCTGGTGCAGCTCCAGGGAGGAGGGGACAGGGGAAGGTTCAACCATGGCTTTGCTATCTGGCCACAGGGCTCCTCTCGCTGGGGCTTTTTCTTTCTATTTCTTTCCTGGAAACTGGTAAAAGATTCCACAGAGCCTGTGTTGGAGCCTGGTGGGGAAATAACCTGGGACACAGGATGGGGTCAGCGGCCTCCCCAGGGTGGTTTTGATGAGCTGCCAGGAGCAGAGTGTGATCTGCCAGCCCTGGAGCATCACCCGCCCTCATCCCACTGCCTGGGGGCTGGCAGAGGAGCAGGGGACCCCCAGAGCCACCACCCCACCAGTGGGGTGCTCTCTGTTCTCTCAGTTTCCTTTGGCACAGAAGCACTGGGCAGAGCAGGGTGTGGAGCTCCCAGCACCATTCCCATTCACAAGGCAAGACAGGAGGAAAAATGGGAAAATGCCCAGGAGGGGCTGAGGGTTCTGCCCTGAGGTTTTTAGTACCACACTAAAATACTTTTTTTCCCTTTTCCCAACTAATTTCCCACTTGCATCACCATAAGCCCTCAGGTGCACTAAGGCTGATCCCCAAACCTTTAATCCCTGTGTCCTGTGGATGCTCCAAGCCCCAGTGTGTGGTTTTTGTGTTCTGATGGAAAGTGAGGACCCAGTGCCAGGGCTTACCCAGGGCAGAGCAGGGCAGGGAAGGGTCAGTGCTGCTGCTCAGCACCCTCCAGGAGCTCAGGGCATGCTGAGCTGGGACACCCTGTGACGTTGCCCCATTCCTCCCTCCACGCTCAAAGCCCACACAGACCCCATCTCTGGCAGGACCCACCTCTGCAGGACCCCCATCAGGTTCTGGGACATCTCGTTGCGCGTCCTTGTCCCGAGTTGCCCCAAGGGCAGTCCCGAGGAGCCCGTCCCGGTGCCACTGCCCTGGCCAGGGTTTCCCCGGGGCTCAGCCACGGCCGGGCCAGCAGCAGTGGGGTTAAGCCCGGCCGGGCGGGTGGCTGGACAGGCGTCAAGGTGGTTGCTCCATCCATCCCTGCGCAGTCGGAGGGGCCGGAGAGCGGAGCGGGAGCGGGAGCCCTGCCCTGCCCTGCCCGCCGCCATGAGCGCAGGCAAAGGTGAGGCTGGAACTGCCCTGGGCCAGGCTGGGGGGACACGCAGGGAGCGGGGGGACACGCTCAGGCTCTGCCCGGGCTCCAGTCACCCTTTACTCTGCTCCTCCTCCACTGCTCATAAGACATTTTGTGGGACCCCGAGCTGCCTGGGGGGCTGCAGGCACTGCAGGGCAGAGCCCACACCTGGATGGGGAGTGCAGGGATGGGCAGGGACCGTGGGACTGGGACCCTTCAGTGCCCAGCGACTCCCAGGGGGCAGCCAGGGAGGAAGGGGGAGAGGGGTCTGGGGGCCTTTCCCCAGGAGTGGGAGAAGCTGCCGCTGCAATATGGAGATGAATTTCGGGGGGGGGTCCCTGCACCCGAGGGATCAGAGCTGTGCCAGCAGTGGGGGGTGATCTTGGACCATTTCCCAAGGAATTCAGCCTCTGAAAACTCCCGCAGCTGTCCCGTGTGTGCAGCGGGCCGGGACTCACCCCTTCATGCCCCCCGAGCCCCGGCGGTGCGGGCACCCGCCCAAGGGGTCCCAAGGGTGTCCCCCAGAGCAGCCACAGCCCGGCACTGACGCTGTCCCCTCTCCTCCACCCCCAGCAGGCATCCCCCTCCTGCTCCCCCTGGCCCTGCTGCTGGCTGCCGCCTCCCAGCCCCCCGGGGGGGACCCCCCGAAGGAGCCGGGGGACGGGGAGGGCCCGCGCTGCCCCAGCCCCTGCGCCTGCAGCCTGGACGATTACAGCGAGGAGCTGAACGTCTTCTGCAGCGGCCGCAACCTGAGCCGCCTGCCCGAGGACGTGCCCCCCAACGCCAAAGCCCTGTGGCTGGACGGCAACAACTTCACGCTGCTGCCGGCCGCCGCCTTCAGGAATCTGTCAGCCCTGGACTTCCTGGACCTGCAGAGCAGCCAGCTGGGCTCCGTGGAGCAGCACGCCTTCCACGGGCTGCGCAGCCTCTACCACCTGCACCTGGAGCGCAACCGCCTCAGGCACCTGGCCCCGCACACCTTCCTGCACACGCAGAACCTCGTGTCCCTCAGCCTCAACAACAACCACTTCAGCAAGGTGGAGGAAGGGCTGTTTGCCGGGCTCTCCAACCTCTGGTACCTGAACCTGGGCTGGAACTCGCTGGTGGTGCTGCCCGACAAGGTGTTCCACGACCTGCCCAACCTGAGGGAGCTGATCCTGGCTGGCAACAAGCTGCCCTACCTCCAGCACCAGCTCTTCTGCAGCCTCACCGAGCTGAAGGAGCTGGACCTGAGTGGGAACGCGCTCAAGGGCATCAAGATCAACGTTTTCGTCAAGCTGCAGAAGCTGCAGAAGCTGTACCTGAACCACAACCAGATCAACGCCATCGCCCCCCGCGCCTTCATGGGCATGAAGTCCCTGCGGTGGCTGGACCTGTCCCACAACCGCCTGGTCTCGCTCTACGAGGACACCTTCCTGGGCCTCCTGAGCCTGCACGTCCTGCGCCTGTCCACCAACTCCATCACCAGCCTGAGGCCCAGGACCTTCAAGGACCTCCAGTTCCTGGAGGAGCTGCAGCTGGGGCACAACCGGATCCGGGGCCTGGCAGAAAGGACCTTCGAGGGGCTGGGCCAGCTGGAGGTGCTGAGCCTCAACAACAACCAGCTGCAGGACATCAGGGCCGGGGCCTTCCTGGGGCTGCACAACGTGGCCGTGATGCACTTGTCTGCCAACTGCATCAAGGTCCTGCCTGACTTTGTCTTCAAGGGGGTCACCAGGCTGCACAGCCTCCACCTGGAGCACAGCTGCGTGGGCAGGATCCGGGCCAACACCTTCTCCGGGCTCTCCAGCCTGCGGCGGCTCTTCCTGCAGCACAACAGCATCTCTGTCATCGAGGACCAGAGCTTCAGCGACCTGCATGAGCTCCTGGAGCTCGACCTCAAGCACAACAGGCTGAGCCACCTCTCGCCCCGGCTCTTCACGGGGCTGAGCAACCTGGAGTACCTCTTCCTCTCCTCCAACCAGCTCCTGGAGATCGCCCAGGACACCTTCAGCCCGCTCCAGAGACTCTTCTGGCTCGACCTCTCCCACAACCAGCTGGAGACACTGGACAACAGCGTCATCTCCCCCCTGGCCAACCTGCGGTACCTGAGCCTGAGCAACAACTCCCTGGAGACCTTCTCGGTGGCATTCCTGCGCCCCCCCTTTGCCCTGGAGCAGCTGTGGCTGGGGGGCAACAACTGGCACTGCAACTGCTCCCTGAAGGGCCTGCGGGACTTCTCCCTGCAGCACCCGGCCGTGGTGCCGCGCTTCGTGCAGTCGGTGGCCGAGGGGGACGACAGCCACGTCCCCATCTACACCTACAACAACCTCACCTGCCTGCACCCCCCGGGCCTGGCGGGGCTGGACCTGCGTGACACTGCCGAGGAGAGCTTTGCTCACTGCTGAGCTGGGCTGGCCCTCCCAGGGACCCTCATCCCGGCCCTGCGGCCACCCCAGCCAGAGCACGGATTTGCCACCGCCTCCAGCCCAGCAGCCGCCTTGCTCAGAAGATGCTGGATGGGCACCAGCCCCCTGGGCTTCAAACTGAGTATTTCAGTCCTTTAGTATTTAAATAGCAGCTCCCAGGGCAGAGCATGGTTGCTCCCAGCTCCCAGCAAGAGAATCTCTGGATGGGGGAATGCTGCACCCCCAGCCCTGCAGCCACAGTAAAGGGCAGCCTTGCCCAGGCCAGGACTTTTATGAGACAAAACAGAGTGTTTTCCTGCCATGGAGCAGTGGAGAAATCCTAAAAGCCCCCCCGAGCTTAGGGAAGGGGCAGAGGACTTGCTGCAATGATTCCTTGCAGCAGCAGGTGTAGGCAGGGCACAGAAAGGCACTGGTTGCTCACCTGATAAATGGCAGCAGACAAATAAACCTTTGGAGCTATTGCAACCCACCTTGTAAGTTACGTTTTTTCCAAAGCTCGTGCTGCCCACGGCTGGGATTTCTCCCCAGACCCCCTCAGGGTGAGGGATTCAGGATCCCAGGGAGCTCCCAGCATTTCCTGCAAGCCTTGGGGGGGGTGGCTTGTTCCCAGGGAGGGAGCAAAAAATGCCCAGCTATCCCACAGAAGCCAACAGCCCTGACAGATTCCAGCTACTGCCCAGCTCTCCAAATCCCAGATAAGTGTCCAAAGGTCAGACAAAATTTTCCTGGAAAATTGCATGAGGGGAAACCTGCTCGGGTGTTGGTCCTTGTGCAGTGGGAGCAGGGCTGGGTGCTGCTCCTGCTCCTGCCTGCTGGAATCCAGTCTCATTTGTGGAAATCCAGGATTTCCCTGCCTTCCCAAAACCTCACAGCGAGGGGGAGTCCCAAAGGCAGAGAGGGACGCAGGCAGGAGCAGCTCAGAGTCCGGGAGGGAGGGAGAGGAGATGCAAGGCCACCACCTTCACTGCTTCCCCAGCTTAACTCAAGCCTGCAAGAGGAGGGCAGCTCCCATGGGAGCAGCAGTCCATGGGAAGAGGTGCAGGGAACAGGACACTGGGAAGTGGAAGAGGCAGGAACCACCTGGAGACACAGAGGAGTCCCAGGCTGGGCCTGGAGAACAGCTCCATGAAGGGCTGCCAGGGCTGGCTCACAGGGACAGGCTGGATCCTGATGCTTTTATAGGATTTAGCTGAATTCCAGCAAGGAAACCAGGGAACAGCAGGAAGCACCTTGATGTATGTGAAAGGCCAAGACTCAGAGGCCTGAAGCCATGGAAAAACAGAAGTTTTGCAGACCTGCATTTTAAGAAAAGGGTTTACTGCCTGGAACCTTGAAAAATGTTCCTGAGTCACAGAAGCCCAGCAGGCCTGAGGGCTCCTTCCCAGCACGATGGGATGCAGCTCCCAGACAGCTCCCAAAGGTGTCTCCTCAGTCCAGCCCACGCTGTGCTGTGCCCTCATGGCCCATCAGGAACCAGCCACCCGAGAATTCCGAGCTCAGGCCTGGCCGGGCTCCACATGGGAGCACTCAGCATGAGCCAGCCACTGAAGCAAGCCCTGTGTGATCCATCAGGCAGGGGCAGCAGGAGAAGGCAGCAGCACATGGAGCCATGATCCAGGTGATCAGAGCCATGTGGGAATGCTCAGGGAAGAACAGCACTGGACACTGCAGCTCCAGAGTCTCTTTGAGTATGAGGGGATGTGGCTTCTTCGTCTGGGACTGCCAGCAGCAGCAGGAATCTGTGCTCCCCCCCTCACACCCCAGTTACAGTTGAACAGCTCCTGCATCCCCTTCCCGCTGCTGGGGCTGCCAGTCTGGCACCAGTCCAGCTCCACACCTTCCTCAGGAGCTCCTCTGCGATGTATCCAAGATCTGCTGGGCAATGTGAGTCAAGGCAGGGAAGGCAGAGCTCTTGGGAAACTCTTGGATGAAGTCTCTGCCTTCTTCCAAGCTCTGGCTGAGCTGGGGGTCCAGGGGGACGCAGCCTGTGGGACAGGGGAGGGAGAGTGAGAGCTCGCTCCCTTTAGGGCCCAGGTCTGCAGCCAGGGATAAAACACACACTGCCACAGTCAACTCCAGGGCAAGTGGCAGGGAAGAGCCCCCACTGCCCTCCCTGGGCTCTGCAGGAGATAATTCTCACCTCCAACCACTTTCTCCGGTTCCAAGACCCCACCCCACCCTGGTGCTTCATGAGAGAGGCTCTCCCACCTGATCCCAGCCCTGTCCAGGGACAGGGTTCAGCCCTCAGCCCCCATTCTCAGGAAGGCTCCAGACATTCCAACATGGTTCTCATGGATCTCCAGGCCTGTTTACACTGTCACCATGATGTCAGCAGTCAGAGAAGGCTGCTGGCATCACTACCTCAGCCCCAGCAGGGCCAGGGGCCCACTGTGAGGAGTCTGGATGGCAGAGAAAGCACAAACCTCAGCTCTGCCCAGGTGCCTGGGGCTCACAGCCCAGCCCACCTGCCCCTGTGATGCTCCTTCTCTGTGCTCAGCCCTCCCAGAGCACCACGAGGGCAGCCCTGAGCAGAGCTCTGCTGCAGAGGCCACTCACCCAGGAAGGGCACCCCGGCGTGCTTGGCCAGCTCCTCGCCTCCCCCTTTGGAGAAGATGTTTGTGCATTCCTGAGGGAGGAAGAGCAGTGAGTCAGGAAGGCCAGAGCCCTGTGTGACAGGGCAGGAGCTGCCAGGCCCTGAGCAGGGCCAGCTCACCTCCACCCTGCCGCCCCAGGCATGCCCTGTGCCCTGCCCTCTCCCTCTCCTCAGGACAGCAGAGCCCAAAGCTGGCAGCGCCTCCCCTCCCTGGCTCATAGCACCACCCTCATGGCATTTCCCAATTCTCCACCCCACCACCACAAGGAAGGGCCCAGAGCAGCCCCAAGGCTGCACAAGAAGGTCAGGAGGGCTCACAGAGCAGTGGGGACACACGAAGCCGCTCATGTTCTCCACGATGCCGAGGATCCGCAGTCCTGCCTTCCTACAGAACGTCAGCTCCCGCCTCACATCCCCCACGGACACAGCCTGAGGGGAACAGCAGCAATTGGGGATCCCTCTGGCCACGCTGACTGTGCCTCCAGAGCACATGTGTAGAACAAGCATCCACAGTCAGCCTTGGGCAAACCTGGGGTGCATTTTCCCCCCTCTAAACGTGCTGCCTACCAGGAATTCCAGCCCCATGTCCCACCTGAGGTGTTGTGACCAGGACTGCCCCGAGCAGCTGGTAGGGCCTCAAGGCCTCCACGGTGGAGATGTGCTCGTCAGACGTGCCCGGTGGTGTGTCCACGATGAGGAAGTCCAGCTCCCCCCAGGCCACGTCGGTGACAAACTGTTTGATCAAAGCTATGGAAATAAAAGGGGCAGATAGAATAACCCCAAACCACAATGGGTTTCAGCAGGTGGCTTGGGAGCCGTGGGACAGGGAGAGGGGACAAGGCTGTCAGCACATCGTGTGCTGCACTGTCCCCATCTGAGTGACTTCAACCCATCCTTGTGGAACAGGAGCTTCGTTCCCCCAAGGAATAACCTCTCCAGGAGACAGCAGCACCTCCAGGAGGGCACACAGGAGGCTCCCCAGCAGCAAGCCCCGGCGTTACCGTTTTTCTTGGGTCCCCTCCACACCACGGCGTCGTCCGGCCGCTCCAGCAGGAAGCCGATGGACATGAGGGCGATGGCCTTGTCCTGGCCCACGAAGACCGGGACCCAGCCGCTGTCACACTGGTGCACGGCGCTGTCCTGCACCCTCAGCATGCGCGGGATGCTGGGCCCACACAGGTCCACGTCCAGGATCCCCACCTGGGGACAGGCACAGCCCCTCAGGGTGGGCTCAGGAGCCCCTGGCCACCCAGATTTGGGCTGCTCGCAGCACTTCCACAACTGTCACCTCATTTCTCTTCACAGAGAAAAGGCACAATTCTTCCCAAGAATATTTCTGGGTTTCACATTCTCTGAACATCAGAGAAAGAAAACACAGTTCTTATCTTATTTGCTGTGCCTGTGTTGTGCCAAAGCAGAATGCAATATGGAGATTGTTTATCCACAGTGATGGTGTTTTGTTTCCTTGGCCTATCAGGGCTGACAGTCACGAGATTCTGTGCAGTTGTGCGCAGAGTCGAATGCTTGGCAGATTCAGTTTAGATGTAATGTAATTTAGTATAATATAATATAGAATAATATAATATAATAAAGTAATTAATTAGCCTTCTGGTAAGACGGAGTCAGATGCATCATTCCTCTCCTTGTTGGGGGCGCCCTGGATCCGATACACAACAGCCACATTTGGAACACAAATGCCTTAAATTTCATATCCCTCCTGACCTCCTGCTCCCCAAAGAGCACCCCCTGGGTGTTTCCAAGTGCTTTATGCCAGAACCCAAGTGGCACAGGCTGCACAGAGCCTTTAAAAAGGTCCTCAGGGAATTCAGTCTGTCTCCTGCCCACACATTTCCTTTTTATCCCCATTTTAAGAGTCCTTGAGCTCACCCACTTCACCCCACAGAGGGAGTGACACCACAAAAAGTCACATCCCAGTGCCAATTTCAACAATAAATATTGTGTGATTTAATAAAAATAGACAAAGGAGAAATGAACTGCAGTACCTGAACTGGATCAAATTGCATTTTCACAGAGAATCCACACACTGCCCACCAAGGACATGCACATGGAAAGGGTGGGCAAAATCCAGCCCAGCTGAGGGCAGGAAGGGAAAGGGCAGAGCCCAGCAGCCCAAAGCCTCACTCACCCTCTTCCCAGCGTGCCGCAGCGCCAGGGCCAGCTCGGTGGAGAGGGTGCTCTTCCCAACGCCGCCCTTCCCCGACAGCACCAGCAGGATGTGCCGCACCCCGGCCAGGTTGGCTCTCTCTGCAAGTGTACCACGGAATCATGGAATATCCTCAGTGGGGAGGGACCCAGGGATCATCCAGGGCAGCCCCTGGCTCTGCACAGACACCCAACAATCCCACCCTGGGCATCCCTGAGATATTGTCCAAGCACTCCTGGAGCTCTGGCAGCCTCGGGGCTGTGCCCATTCCCTGGGGAGCCTGGGCAGTGCCAGCACCCTCTGGGGAAGAACCTTTCCTGATATCCAACCTAACCCTGCCCTGGCACAGCTCCAGCCGTTCCCTGTCCCAGGATCCTCCTCGGGAGGAGCTGCAGCGCTGCTGAGCTCTGCCCTCAGTGTAAGGCAGTGACAAAGAAGAGCTGGAGGTGCCACAGGTTTTTTGTGATCACAGCCGGGACAGTGAGAACAACGGCAATAAACACCGTGTGTGGGGAGCAAAGGCTGGTCCCGATGACCTAAGTGGAAACCGGGCAGCAGAGCAATAAACACGGGGCTCGTGAGGCTCAGCCGGGCCATGGCCCGAGGCTGCCGGTGAGCTCAGGCCCTTGGCGTTTCCTTCCTCCGTGCCACACCAGTCGCTTCCTGCCGGCCCCACGCTCCTCTCCAGCCCTCCCTGCGTTCCCTGCTGTGCTGTCAGCGCTCCCGGCTCTGCTTTGGGCTCAGCTCCCCGCAGCAGGCAGCGCTCGGCACCGGAGTTCCCGGGCTGGGACAGCACAGGGGGCGGCCGGGCCGCTCCAGCCACAGCCGGCGAACACCACCGGCCCACCGGGGCCGCGTTCCGGGCGCCCCGACCCGACCGGGCACGGACTCGACGCGCCGGGGCTGGCCCGGCAGCGCAGCGGCACCGGCGGCATGGAGCCCGCACGCACCATGGCAGAGCTCATCCGCACCTCCGCCGACGGTAAAGGCCACGGGCCCCACAACGGGGAGAGGGGAGAACGGGCCCGGGGAGGGGCAGACGGGGCCCCGCAGCGAGCTGCTCCCGGCATACCGCCCGGTGACAGCGGCAGCCCGGCGCTGTCTGCCGCGGGAGCCGGGCCCGGGCTTCTGGCAAGGCTCTGCGTCACCTCCCGATCAGCGGTGCCCGCCGCCTACGGGAGCCCGGCCCGGAGCGCCCCTCACCAGGAGTCGGGCCGAACACCGCGACACCGGCTCGGCCCGAGCACCTCGGAACTCCACGGAACCGGGTCCTGACCCCCCGCTAGGCCCGGTCATTCGGCTGGGACATCCCTCGAGAGATGGGTAGGGCCCCCCCAGACCAACACCCCGGATCCCGGTTCCCCCAGGCCGCGGCCTCTCCGCCGCTCACCCCCGGCCGTCTCCTCCATGTTGCCTCCCCGCATCACCCGCTTCCGTCTTCCGCCGGCCCAGAGCCCCGCCCCCTTAGACTGACAGGTGCGCTGTCCAATCGGAAGCCGCACTTTCACCGGAGAACCCGCCCTCCAATGCTTTGCAGCCAATCCACTTCTCGTGCTCCCTTCGCATCAGCCAATGAACTTAGTGCTTTCCCTTCGCGAGCGGCCGCCCAATGGCGCCGCTCTCTGGCGATTGGCACACGGGGCAGCCAATAGTACCGGGCTCTCTCAGACCCCGCCCCCTTTGTCCCTCTCCGCCCGTGAGTGACAGAGAGCTCAGCCAACGGCGATAGGGCGCGGCGCGGCCGCAGCCAATGAGCGCCCGGAGGCGGTGCCGGGAGAGGATTGTTTATGTCCCGGGAGAGGAAAGTAGGTCAGAGCGCCGCGGGCCGGGCCGGGCCGGGCAGGTGGGCCGGGGGCTCGGGGGACCGGCCGGAGGTGGCAGCTGGGGCTGGGGTTTGGCTGAGGGCGGGCCGGGGTTGTGCCACCCAAGCGCCGTGGCCTGGCCTGGCCTGTCCCGGCCCTGTCCGGCTGGCCTCAGCTGCCGGGACAGCCGGGCTCCGGTGCCCGCCCTCGGTGGAGCCGCTGCCTCCGCGGCCAGGGAGCTGAGCCGAGCCGAGCCGAGCCGGGCCGGGCCCCCCGCCGCGGTCCCTCCTCGCCGCTCGGTGCCCGGGGCTGTGCGGGTCACGCCGCAGCATCGCCTCGGGCCCCCGGAAAGGCCTCAGCGGGCCCAGGGCCCCGGGGGTACGCGGCTTTTTGTGGCAGCGCTGCAGTGACAGCAGGAGCGGGACAGGGGCCGTCCACTCTGCTGGCACCGCTGGGGCAGCTCCAGTCCTAGGGGCAGTTCTGGTCAAGCAGGACACTGAGGGGCTGGGGCATGCTCAGGGAAGGGAACAGGGCTGGGAAGGGGCTGGAGCACCAGGAGGGGCTGAGGGAGCTGGAAAGGGGCTCAGCCTGGAGAAAAGGGGGCTCAGGGGGGACCTTGTGGCGCTGCACAACTCCTGACAGGAGGGGACAGCCAGGGGGGTCGGGCTCTGCTCCCAGGGAACAGGGACAGGACAAGGGGAAATGGCCTCAAGCTGTGCCAGGGGAGGTTTAGGTTGGATATTGGGAGAATTTCTCCGTGGAAAGGGTGGTCAGACACTGGCACAGCTGCCCAGGGCAGTGGTGGAGTCACCATCCTTGCAAGGATTTAGAAGCTGTGTGGGTTTGGTGCTTAAGGACATGGTTCAGTGGTGGCCTTGGCAGTGCTGGGGGAATGGTTGGACTCATTGATCCAGGAGATCTTTTCCAGCCATAACAATTCCATGTCTGACTCTGCCATCAGTGCTGGGATCTCTGTGCTGGCTCTCAGCCCCAGCCTTAGCGAGGGCGTGGGGGAGCAGGGCAGCTCTGTTGGGCTGCCATGGGTGCTCAGCAAAGCTGGAGGAGGGTTTCTGCTGTGGTTTTAGGTGCTTTCCCAGCATGGCTGTGCGAGCCCTGTGGTTTCAGTAGGTGGGATTTCTAGAGCCCTTCAAAGCATCCATGGGCAGCTGCACAGCTGGCTGTGGCTTGGCCTGTCCTGCTTTTCCAGGGGCTGCTGTCCCACTGGGGACTGAGGCACAGGAGGAACTGGGCCAGGTGCTTTATGGCAGGCTCTGGGTCGGGGCTGAGCTGAGGGAGATGGTTCAAGGATTACAGCCCTGAGGGTGCCTCTTGGTGGGGAGTTGAATCCTGCAAAGATAAAGTTCAGACAGGTGAGATTGGAAGCTGAGGTTCCCTGTCACATGCAGTGCAGTGGTCCTGTGTGGGAGCTGGGAGCTGGTGTGCCTGTCAGGCTGTGCCCAGGGAAGGAGCCTCAGGAAATCTGTCTCTGATCAACATCCCAGTTGGGCTGGGAGACAGGCAGCTGCTTCTGATGCCCTGTGCAGGCTGACCTAGAACAGAGATGGGACAGAGTTAAAGAATAAAGCAGGGATTTATTAAAAGGCCTCAATGGATCCACCTTGGGCAGCAGAAGAGCCCAGCCAGGGCTACACCCCAGGTGAACCCAAAATGGTCACAAAATGCACAACCGCTCACGAGGTCTCTCACTTTGATAAGTTCTGCTCCATTTGCAGATTGCAGTTAATTGTCCAATTCCAGCTTTAGCCCATGAATTTCCCTCCTGCTTGTTTTTCTCTCTTCAGCCCATGTTGTTTGTGCTCTTGGGCCTGAGATTGGATCATTTGTCCTTGGTCCCCAGCTAGAGAAGGAATTGTTTTGTCTCCCTACTCTGTGAAGAGAGCTCACCTTCCCCTAGTGTGAAGCTCAGAAGTGCACACTGAAGCAGCACAGAATCTGAAAAACAGAAAAGCTAAAACCTGAGGCATCACTTCCCTTCTGCCTGTTGTCCTTGAGGCAAGCAGGGACAGGTCTGTCACAACCCTGGTTTCCTTCCAGTGAGCAGGAAAGTGGTTTCTCTTCCTCTCCAAGCATTGAGAGCCAAGTCTTCCATCAGAGGGCAGTTGCAGATGGAGACAGCTGGGCTGCAGGGGGCTGGGGTAGTGCAGGTGGCCAGAGCCAGGACAGCTGCTGGAGGGTCACTGGGCACCAGGGAGGCTGTGTCTTGCAGCAGCCTGCTCTAGTGGAAGGTGTTCCTGCCGACGGCAGGGTGTGGAACGAGATGAGCTTGAAGGTCCTTCCAACCCAAAGGACTCTGGGATTCTGACAGCCCTGAAGCTCCCCAGGCCAGGTGAGAGGTGGCTGCTGGAGGCAGTTCCTGCAGAGGGGCAGCTGCTGCCACCACAGCTGGATATTGGGAGCATTCCTTGGGCCTGGCTCAGGGAGAAGTTGACCCTGGGTGGAGAAAGTGGTTGAAGTTTTGCAGAGGCTCTTCACGCACATGGAACTCCTTGTGCTGGTCCCCCGGGGTGTTTGGTGACCCGAGGAGGTGGCAGAAGTGTAAGAGAAGTGTAAGCCTGTGTTCCTTCCGCAGCCTACCTGCGCGGGGGCAGCATGGCGCGGCGCCCGCGGAGCAGCCGGGCCTGGCACTTCGTCCTGAGCGGGGTGCGGCGCGAGGCCGACGGCCGGAACGGCGCGCGGGGCTGGGGATACGACTCCGACGGCCAGGTAGGCTGGGCTGGGGGTCTGGGTGCCACAGGGGATGGCTGTGCTCGAAGGTCCCAGGACTAGGGAAGAGATGAGAATCTTGACTCTGTGTTTCAGAAGGCTGATTATTATAGTATGATACTATATTATATTAAAATGCTATATTAAAACTGTACTAAAAAGAATAGAGAGAAAGGATCCATCAGAAGGCTGGAAAGCAATAGAAAGGAATGAATAACAAAATCTTGTGATTGCTCACAACCTCAACACAGGTGGCTGTCATTGGTCATCAAGTAAAAACAATTTCACGTCCAAATCATATTCCAAAGCAGCAAAACATGGAGAAGCTGAAGCTCCCCAGCTTCTCAGGAGAAAAGATCCTGGCAAAAGGATTTTTCATAAAATACGTCTGTGACAACAGGGGATGTTTCCTGTCCCTGATATCTGGTGTGAACTGGCCAAAAGTAGGAAGAGTTTAGTAATGGTCAATATTGATGCTAAACTAAATGCTTTTTCAAGCATCTAATGGGTGTGTCATACATAAAGTACATACAATATTTTTATAAATTTGTTTTTGGAAGCAGAGCTCTAGATAAGTGTTTGAAGTGGATCAGTTCCCTAATCTGACTGGCTGTGCTCCCTCCTGGGCTATGAGGGGCTTGGAGATGGTGGTGGAGATTGCAGGGCAGTGTCTTCAGACTGAAATTTCCTCACATTTCCTGCTCTGCAGCATGACCCTCACTTCTGAACCTGGTCCAAGTGTGCTGGGGATGGGAACACAGCAGGGAGAGCAAGAGTAAAACAGTGCAAGGAGTGACTGATTTGCTTCTGCCATCCTTCCCTATTTTCCTAATTCTTGAGTGTGTGATTGAGTTCCCTGTGCAGTGGTGGGGACTCAAGGAGCTGCTCCAGGAGCTTCAGAGCATACACTGAAGCCAGGAGGCTCTGCGAGAGCACAGTGTCCAAACCCAGGCACTGTGCTCCCAGAAAATGAGCAGTTTTCTGTCTCTGTAGCCAGGGGAATGACAGGATTTCTAGGCAGCAGTAGTTGGGAAAGTTAGAAGTTAGGAAAGACAGAACCTAAGCTCTTGGGTCTGCAGGTCGGAGAAGGAGGCCTGGGCAGTACGTATGTAAGCCCAAGTAGTTTCAATTCCTGTCTTACAGCTGCAAGAACATGAATTTAAAGGATTTTTGTCATTAAATACCCCAGACCCTAGGGGTGAATAACAAGCAGGTACACCTGAGCAGCAGGTAAACCTGGAGTAACTCTGCAACCAGTGATAAGAGAACCCCTTAGGCAACACCATAACACAGGAGTGAAACTGGGCTGTGACTCTCACCATGTCCAGTCCGGGATCACTTTGGTCTCTTGGCACTGGGGAACAGTAAATCAGGTTTTTGTGTTCATGAAAGTAAACAAAAGCCCTTTAATCCTGCCCTGGGTTCCCCGTGGGCTGTCTGCAGCGCTGCCCTGAGGGGCTGCATCCGGGCAGCTCAACTGGCTCCCTTTTTTCTGCCCCCTGTCCCTTCTCCTCCTGTGCTTCCCAGCCTCTTCACAGCCTCTCCAGAGCAGTGCTTGGCTCTGCTGTGGCTGGAACCTGCCTGGTGAAAGCCAAAGCTTTAGCACAGAATTTCCTTCAGAATGTGTGTGTTCCACACTTGGGCTGTCACCCTGCTGTGACAGCTCCATGTCCCTGGCAGGCACACGGAACATACCTGCACTGCAGAGTGCTGAGAGGTCCCTGCAGCTCAGCAGGCACTATCCATGTCCCAGGGCAGGGTAATTCCATGGGCACAGCCTCCCTGTGTGACACGAGCCTGGGGATGTCCCAGCAGAGCCCTCAGGGAGCTCTGCCAGCCCAGCTCCCATGCCCAGGGGTGCCCAGCAGTGAGCATTCCTGTTTTCCCCAGCAGCACAGCGACTCTGATTCGGAGCCAGAGTTCTCCTCCCTGTCTCCCTCCATCCCAAGTGCCATCCCTGTGACTGGAGAGTCCTACTGCAACTGTGAGAACCAGAGTGAAGCTCCCTACTGCTCCAGCCTGCACGCCCTGCACCGCGTCCGCGACTGCCGCTGCGGCGAGGAGGATGAGTGTAAGGGGCTCGGGATGGGGGCCCCCTGCAGTGTCCTGTGCCCATCCCAGCATTCCTTTGTTTACATCCTGAGGCACAGGAGGATTACCAGCCCCTGCCTACTGTCGTGTTTCCAGGGTCAGGGCTGATGCTGTTACGGCATCAGCGCTCACCCCTGGGACCTGCTTTCTGATCCGGCTTAGGCCCCAGTGAAACAGAGCCGGTGCTTAGGGCCCTCCTGATCCTTGCAGGGGCTGGCAGGGTGCCTGGCTCTGAGCACAGGGTGGGCTTGGGCTGGGGGGAGAGCCTGTGGCAGGGCAGAGTCACCCCTTGATCCCATGAGGAGTGTGGGGAGAAGGGAGGCTCTGCCTGGTGCCAGCCAAAATTTGGCCTGGTGAATGCTGACAGCTTTGGAGCACTGATCCATCCCTGCTGGGACACTGCAGAGTAGTTCAGGCCTCAAGCAGTTCTCTGATGTGCACAGCTTAAGATTTATCCTCTTAAACAATAAGAGAAATAGAAACAAACCCACTGACAGGCCTTCAAAACAAACATCTGTCTGTGCTTTGGCTTGGGACTTGTTCCCTGAGGGTCTTTGCCCATCCTTGTCCCCTCTGTGCTTCCTCAACAGATTTTGACTGGGTGTGGGATGACCTGAACAAGTCAACAGCCACGCTTCTGACGTGTGACAACCGCAAGGTGAACTTCCACATGGAGTACAGCTGTGGCACGGCCGCCATCCGTGGCAACAAGGAGCTGGCAGAGGGCCAGCACTTCTGGGAGATCAAGATGACCTCCCCGGTGTATGGCACTGACATGGTACGTGTGGGGCACACAGAAATGCCCAGGATTTTGGACAGGGGCTGGCAGGATGAGGTTCCACCATGGCAGATGAGGTTTGAGGCTGTCTGGAAGTGCACAAGTCCATGGGGAGCTAATGAGATGCGTCCCTGGGATTTGAGGGAACTGTTGGATGAAGTGGCTTAGCCACTATCTGCTGTGTTGGAGAAGCTGTGGGAGTCTGGTGAAGTTCCCAGTTTATAGGAAAAGAGGAAACATAACCCCCATTTTTAGAAAGGGAAATAAGGATCATCTGGGGAAGTACAGGCTGACCAGTCTCACTTCTGGGCCTGGCAAACATGGAGCAGATCCTTTTGGAAGCTATGAAAAGGCACATGGAAAAAGTGGATGTGATTGGTGACATCCACCATGGCTTCACTAAGGGATTCAGTGCCCTTCTGTGATGGTGTTGCAGTGTTGGTGGAGGAGGGAAGAGGAACTGATCTCATCTACCTGAACTTGTGCAAAGCATTTATTGCTGCCTTGCTTGGCATCCTTGTCTCTAACCTGGAGAGACATGGATTTGACAGAGGGACCGCTTGGTGGATATGGAATTGTCTGGATGATCACATGCAAAGAGCTGGGAGTCAACAGAGACCAGTGACAAGTGACATTGCTCAGGGGCTGGCACTGGGACCAGTGTTGTTTTACATCTCTGCTGGGGACATGGACAGTGGGATCAGGGCACCCCCAGCCAGCCTGGAGCTGACACCCAGCTGTGTGAGGAGGTGACAGCCTGGAGGGGAGGGATGGGGCATCCAGAGGGACCTGACAGGCTGGAGAGGTGGGGCCATGGGAAAAAAGTTGAACAAGACCCAAGTGCCAGTGCTGCACCTGGGTCAGGGCAATCTCAAGCACCAATCCAGGCTGGGCAGAGATGAGCAAGAGCAGCCCTGGGAGAAGGACTTGGAGTGTTGGAGGATAAGAACTGGACATGGCCTGGCCATGAGCACCCAGAAACCCCCCAGTGTTGGGCTGAGCCCCCAGTGTGGGCAGCAGGAGGGGGGGATTCTGCCTCTCTGCCCCCTCAGGTGAGACCCCACCTGCAGAGCTGACTCCAGATCTGTGGCCCGGCACAGGAAGGACCTGGAGCTGCTGGAGAGAGTCCAGGGGAGCTCATGGAGATGCCCCAAAGGCTGGAGCCCCTCTGCTCTGGAGCCAGGCTGGGAAAGCTGGGGGAATATTCATATTCAATACCATTCTGTGACTCTGTGAACAGGACAGTGACCTCTTCCAGCATTTTAGCTGCACCTCCTCACTTAGGAAAGGAAATCAGAGCTGGGAGTCTTTAGTTCCATCCTGAAACCTCTGACTTGGCTTCAACAACCCCTCTGGGTGCTTTGGGCTGAGCCAAAAATAGGAGGGAAGAACTGGAGGTGAAATCTTGGTTGTGTATTGTTGCTTGAAAAGGCACTGAGTTTGTGTTCTGCCTCCCAGATGGTGGGGATTGGGACGTCAGATGTGAACCTGGACAAGTACCGCCACACCTTCTGCAGCCTGCTGGGCAAGGATGAGGACAGCTGGGGACTCTCTTACACAGGTAACATGGCTAGGGTGGCTGGGTGGACAGCAGTGGCACAAGAGGTGCCACCAGGCCTGTGAATCCCTTTGTTAAGGACACCAGAGCAGCTGCTGGCAGCTCACAGCCCTTGGAGCCTCTCTCCTGACCCACTTGTTGCAGAGCCATTAGACCTGGTGTGGGACTGCCAGGGCACCAGGGTACTTCTGTCACATCAGCACTTTGGGGTTTCAGTGCTGCTCCCTGTGCTCTGGAGTTGTAAAACCTCACTTTTGCCTTTCCACCAGCCACTCTGGGATGGGAGGGCAGGGGTCAGAAATGCCGGATGTTTTTGGCACTGAGCGAGGCTGTACCAGCAGCATGGGAGTTGGGATGAATTTCTGGAGTGCAGGTTTTCCACAGAATGCCATTTTTTGGGTGTGTTTTCAGGACTGCTGCATCACAAGGGGGACAAAACAAACTTCTCCTCAAGGTTTGGCCAAGGCTCCATTATTGGGGTGCATTTGGACACGTGGCACGGGACGCTGACGTTCTTCAAGAACCGCAAGTGCATAGGTGAGAGCCAGGGATGGGGTGGGAGCAACTCGAGTCTGGCTGCAGCAGAAAACACTGGCAAAGCAGAAGACCAAGGTGTGAAGTGAGTGGGAGGAAGGTCACATTTCTTGTTTAATAGATTGGGATTTTGGAAAACTTTTCCCAATAGCTTTGCAGTTAATGGGTTGGGGGGAGGGGGGAGATCCCTCTGTATAAACTAACGTGCCCTCCCTGGTGCTGTGCCCTGGCAGGGGTGGCAGCCACAAAGCTGCAGAACAAGAAGTTTTACCCCATGGTGTGCTCGACGGCGGCCAAGAGCAGCATGAAGGTGATCCGGTCCTGCGCCAGCCGCACGTCCCTGCAGTACCTGTGCTGCTTCCGCCTGCGCCAGCTCCTGCCCGACTATGTGGACACGCTGGAGGTGCTGCCCCTGCCCCCAGGACTCAAGCAGGTGCTGCACAACAAACTGGGCTGGGTCTTGAGCATGAACTATAGCACATCGAAGCCTTCCTCCTCCTCGTCCTCGGGGAGCGACTCGGACAGCTCGTGTGGCTCGGATGCGGAGGCCTGCCAAAGGAAGAGGTGCAGGAGGACATAATGGCTCTGCACACCACCTGGGTGGGGGTTTGTTGTGTTGTCTGCAGGGGCCAGTCAAGCCTGATGCACCTCTTCCTTCTGGGGACATCCATTTCTATGTGTTGACAAAGATTTCTTCAGTGCTGTGGAAATCTTTGGCCTCGACATCCATCACAGGCATTTAGAAGAGCTGCTGCTCCAAGAGATGCCAGTTCTGACACGAGAAATTTGTGGTGAAATATCTGAGCTCCATCTCCTGACTTGCTATGGAAGCCAGCACCTCTTCCTGAAGGATCTCTCGTCTCCCTGTTGGCACAGACAATGTTTAAGAAATTTCGCTTGATGACAGGAGTTGGACTTGATAATCTTCATGGCTCCCTTCCAACTCAGGATGTTCAGGCAGTCTCCTGGTTGGAGTGTGCTGGATTCCAGTCAGATACAGGACCTGACTCACTGAGCCACAGTCCCAGGCCATTCCTCTCCTCTCTGTGTGTGTAGGTTTGGTGTCTGCCATGACCTCGTGCCACTCTGGGGCACAATGGAGCAGCAGCTGCAGGGAAAGGGCCCCCAGAGACACTGCTGGGAGCAGGTACAGGAGCTGAGCTGTGGCTGGTGGTCCTCGAGCCCCTGGGGACTTTTAATTGCTTTGCATGTTGGTTTCTGCTGCTTCTCCTCTGTCCAAGACTGTGTTAAACTGTAATAATAAACGTAGAAGCTGTCTGTTGTTCCTCTTGGGCCCCTGAAGGCAGGAGGCTGCAGGTGCTTGTCAAAACTCCCTGGAGGGGAGGTTTTGGGTGCAGCAGTTGTGTGTCAGAGCTGGAGGAGGTGAAGGCAGCAGAGATGCCCTTGTCTCTGCCCTGTGCAGGGCTCTTGTGCTTCCCACTGAAGCAGAAGTCTTGCTGGGGGGGATGTTCAGTGGAGTCAGGCTGATGCCCGTGGCTGTGCACTGAAAGGGAGGCTGCAGGGGTTATAGCACCTGTCCTCTGGCAGGACATGCTGGGAAAAACACCCCAAACCCCCACCCCAGAGCCTGGCAATCAGAGCAGTCCCTCCAAGACTCTGTGGTCCTGCTGAGGGGAAATGCTGGATTAGCATCTGGACAAGTGACTTACTGTGCTGTGGCCTGATGCCACTGCCAGGGAACGGGCTCTGTGCTCCCACAGGGCTGGTGCCAACCCAGGCCAGTCCCTGCAGGGCCTGTAATCAGCCCATGGGCTTTTCCCCAGCCTTTGAGATCTCTGGTTTACTGAGGAGTCAAGGCTGAGCTGGTGCTGTTGGTCTTGCAAAGGGCATTGGAAAATGGACCAGGGCTGAGGTGTGGGTGGGAAATGGCTTTTAACCAGTTCTCTCTGTGGGTTTCCTTCCAACACGTTCCAGCTGCTGCCTTCTCTTCTGCTCCCATCACAGACCACCCCACAGGCTCAGGTAAAACTTCTTGCACCATGTGCACTTCTTCCCTGCTGAGCTCATTCCCTAATCCTGAAGCAAAGATGGCCCTTGCTGCTCTGGGGCCAGGCTTTGAGAACTTTACTGCAGTAGGTCAGGCTCTGTCCATGCCCTGTACTGGTACTGCAGCCAGACCAAGCTGCCTTGCTGGTTTGCTCTTCCCCAGGAACTGACTCAAGCAGCAGCAGCTGCAGGCAGAGCAGGGAGGAGCATGGTGTGGAGGGCCTTTCCTGCTCCTGCAGCACTGCTTGCTCCAGGGCTGTGGGAACAACTCCAGGAGTTCTGTGTCACTGGGGCTTTCCCAAACCTCAGCAGGCACTGGGGGAGCCATGACCCGCCCCCATCCTGGCTGTGGCTATTTCTGAGTAATAATGGAGGTCCAGGGGTTCTGTGTCACTGGGGAAAGCCCCAGTGAACAATCCCAAACCTCAGCAGGCACTGGGGGAGCCATGACCCGCCCCCATCCTGGCTGTGGCTATTTCTGAGTAATAATGGAGAATTTTCTTTGGGAAAAGAGACTCCCAGCCTAACCTACCATTTCCCGTGGATTTTCTAGAGCTTATTTTCTAGAACATTTTCTCATGTTGGGAGTTCAGTGAACAAACTGCCCTGCCCTGAGCTGTGTTACCCCAAGGAAGTGGTTCCTCTCCTCTCAGCTGGTTTTGACAGTTGGCAGATGTTTTCCAAAGTGACTCAAACAGGACCCACATGCCCTTGGAAGCCATAGCAGGATCTACAGAAACATCCCACAAAGAGCCAGAGTAGGATATGGAAGGTCAGGACACACTGAAGAAAATACATGGCTTGTCCAGCACCTCACCTGCAAGGACAGAGCTACAGCAGCCCCTGTTCCAACCCTCCTCAGCTCCCAAAGGAGACAGGCAGCTTTCCAGCCAGCAGGAGAGAAAGCTGGGGAAGCTGAAAGAGGAAATGAGAACCAAGAGGCTGAAGAAAGCATTTGTAATGAGACATTTATTGATGTGCACGTCTCTGTTCTGAAGGAGAATCAGCTGCTTCCCCTGGCTGGGCTCCCAGCTGCAGCTCAGCCACAGCCAAGCACTGGCAGATAACAGGAGTGACCAACACCAGCCACAGTCCCTCTGTGGGGAGCAGGACAGAAGCAGAACAGGGCTGGGCTTAGAGATGTGCCCCAGCACAGTGCTCTTTGCCACTGATGTCCCATGTCACTGGGATGCTCAGAGGGTGTCACTTGTCACCTTTTGTGCTGCATTCTCTATAGGCACAGAAGAGGAGGGAACAGTTAGGACAGATGCTCTAGAAGACCCCAATCTTCCCTGCAGGACTCAATCCCATTGTTACAGTGAGGATCCATGACAGCCTTCATCCAAACATATCAGGATGGGGGAGATAAAGCTCAGAACAAACAAATATCTATCCCTTGGGAACAGACCTTGCACACACTCAGTTGTGTGCTGTCTTTCCAGAGAGAGCTGTGAGGCTACTTCATAAAATCCTAGGATGGTTTGGGGTGGAAAGGACCTTAAAGTGCATCTTATCCCCCTCCCTGCTATGTCCAGGGACACCTTCCACTGTCCCAGGCTGCTCCAAGCTCCAATGTCTAACCTGGACACTGCCAGGGATCCAGGGGCAGCCACAGCTGCTCTGGGCATCCTGTGCCAGGGCCTGCCCACCCTGCCAGGGAACAATTCCTTCCCAATATCCCATCCATCCCTGCCCTCTGGCAGTGGGAAAAAACTCATCTTCCAGAGAGGCTGTGCTGAGGGCAGAGACCAAGGCTCTAGGGCAAGGAAAAGGACAGGAGAGTATTTGACTACATGAGATTATATAAAAAAAGGTTCTGTCAGAGTTCTTCATCCAGTAGGGTTTTCTATGATTAATGTTCACAAAAACAAGCACGTGCTGATAAAAATGTGCCTTCATCCGCTGGCTGAGCTGCTGTCAGAAGGGTCAGAGCATCCCAGTCTAATCCTGCTCCTGCCATTCTCAGTCAGGAACAGCAGAAAGCTCAGGAGCATGGGGGGAGGGAGAACTTGGTGAGCTAAACAAGCTCCCTGAAGGATCAGAGAGCAGAAGAACAAGGAAAGTGTAAGGCTTGGTGTCCTGTGGAAAGCCCCCACAGCTCTGGAGTGACACATTTTTCTGCTTGAGGGGCTGTAGCTGTCAGACTGCAGCAGCAGCCACTGGGACATCAAACCCAGAGCTGAGGGACAGATCATGGGGGACAGTGGCTGCCCCAACAACCACTGAGCTGCCCTGACTGGGTGGGCAGGCAAAGGTATCCCCTGGGGAACATCCAAGGTGATGTGAGCAGGTCCTGGGAAGTGGGACCACAGCAGGGAGAGGCCTGGGAGGGCCAACAGGAGGGTGAGCAAATACTACTGGAACAAGGCTCTAGTTTAATCACACACCCAGAGACAAGGCTTGCTTCCCTGGGGAACTGGTGGCACATCCAGAGCTTGTTTGCTTCATCAACACAGAGCTTTTAATGAAGATTCCCATGACAGCCCTCCCTGCGCCTGTCCTCCAAGCTTTAACAGGCCACAGAAGGCTTTGAGGGCTCACCTGTAGCAGAGGAGGGGCTGCTTCTACTGTAGCTGCTGCTCTGCAGGGCTGACTCTGTTCTACTGCTGGAATTGTCACTTCCACACCTGCCAGAGTCCTGGGTTGTTCTTCTCCTCTTGCAACCCCTGACCCTAGAAGGGCAGGAAGGAAACTCCTGCAGCTCCAGCTGCAGAAAGAGTTGGGATCAAGGCCTGAGGCTGCTGTGTGCCCAGACCCCAGACTTTACAGCCCTCTCCTTGATGCCCGGTGCAGGCTGCCCTAGAACAGAGGCTGGACAGAGCTAAAGAATAAAGCAGGGATTTATTAGGAGGCCTCAATGGATAAACCGTGGGCAGCACAAGAGCCCAGCCAGGGCTACACCCAAGATGAACCAAAATGGTCACAAAACGCACAACCGGTCACGGGGTCTCTCACTTTGATAAGTTCTGCTCCAAGGATGGCAGAGGAAGGAGAAGGGATGGCAGGGCAGGGAGGGAGCAGGGAGCCAGGATGGCAGAGCAGGGAGCCCGGGCTGCCCAGAGCTGTTTACTCAGCTACTGCAAAGCTGCTCATCTTTCTTAGCTCCCCGTAAGCCATGAGTGCTAACCCCCTTTAGGGGAACGTTCACGCAGGGCAGGAATTTAGTTCAAGGGATATCAAGCCAGGGTTTAGAGGGTGTTTGATCTACTTTGTGACTGCTGTGGCATCACAAGGAGCACTGCTGGAGGGACACAGGTTCTGCAGGGCAGGGAACTGAGGGAGAACCAACAGCCCCTCACCAACAGCTGAGCAGCAGATGGTGGATTTGGAGAGGAGAGGCTGCATTCAGGCCCCTCTGAACAAGGGACTCCAAATAGTTTCTCAAAGTTGGCAGTTCCTCCTCCATCCCACTGCCAGCCAGAGTGAAGGTGTAAGCAAGTGGATGCAACCTGATCCAAGGCAGCCACCACCTCCCTGGAAAAGCATTCCTTCACAGAACTCACACACGTGGGACGTTGCCATCAGCTCAGCCCAAGTGACAGAAAGCTTCCAGGACTCTAGGCTGTACCTCCAGAATCTCCTCATGAGGCCAAGGAAGCTTCCTGGGAGCTGGGGCTCTGCATTGCCAGGCTCAGGGGGTGCTGCCTGCCCTGCCCTGGGCACAGGGCTCATGCAGGGGCCCCACACACGCACACCCCAGGGCTGCTGTCTGTAAAGAGGGAAAGGTCAGGCTTAGTCCCACATCTGCCACCTCAGATCTGAGCTGGAGCTGGAGATGAAGGTGTGGCAGCAGCTCCCCTGTGAATGAGAGGAGACCCCAAACCATGGTGAGACCCACTGGCTGCCTCTGCTGGCAGAACTCCACAGGCCACAGTGGGGTTTTTATACAAAAACATTTATCCTCACAGGCTTATGTGAGGAGCTGAGGAGGTGGTGAGGAGCTGTCCCTGAGAAATCATCCCTGATGCTCCAAGGGCTGGAGCCCCTCTGTTATGAAACACTCCAGACAGAACAGGACAGACCAAGCTACTGCATCTGCATCTGTGCAGAAGTTTTGGATGTGATCCCAGCATCAGCACAGGGGAGACTCCTCTGCTGTGCTCCTACAGGACAGGAGGAGTCAGGACTGGGAGCAGCACACAAGTGACACACTCAGAGCTCAGGACAAGGGCTCCAGGCCGTGGACATCTCTCAGGGCACTGAACAGCAGGCAGTGTCCTGCTGCCCTCCTGGCTCATCTCCAGAGCATCAGCACTCAGCTCCTCACTGCA